CACATTCGTTGACCGCTTGCATATTCACCAGGTACCGATATACGACCGCTGTAATTGGTTTGTGTTTTCGTGTGGAATGTCCCACCTTCCATTCATATGTGTACTTACTTCACATACCGAACGTGCTTTTACATACTTAAGTACAGGTAAATCCATCTACGAACACGTGAAAACCTTTCAACGTCAGGATTTGATTGTCATGCCGTTCTGTAAGCTTTTTGTCAATGCCAGTGGTATGGGTTGGTGGGGCGTGAGCTGTAGTCATAACACCACGTGCAAGGAGCTATGGAAACGTACCGATGGCGAATTTAGTTTATATAAAAAAAATCGTCGAAAACTATGCGTTAGCAATTCAATGTATCTTATTGTTCAAATACCTTGCGGTAGAGTAATGTTCTAGTTTAAAATCACAGCAGTGATATGATTTTACATAGGTTCTTTGTACCTTTTCGAATGCATGGCCTACATGTATTTGTATACATGATAATGAATGTGTTGCAGAGAGATAAAACGTTACATCGAAATCAGTGAATATATATGTATACATATATATATCAATGATGAAATCACATAGCAATAACGGACATGTTCAGTCGTTGTCTTAGACGTGCAAGAACCTATATCATATAATTGATACATTTAAGGAATGATAGCGCAGTTAATGCTATGGTCATCGAGTCCGAAATGACCAATAGCTCGTAAGTAAAGAACCAAAGGAAAAATACGAATACGCGTTGTGATAGAGTAAGTGCAGGAATCACACGTGTTGAAATACATCTCTCTACGTGTATGATAGAGTAAGTGCAGGAATCACACGTGTTGAAATACATCTCTCTACGTGTATGATAGAGTAAGTGCAGGAATCACACGTGTTGAAATACATCTCTACGTGTATGATAGAGCAAGTGCAGGAATCACACTTAAATACATCTCTCTACGTGTATGATAGAGTAAGTGCAGGAATCACACGTGTTGAAATACATCTCTACGTGTATGATAGAGCAAGTGCAGGAATCACACGTGTTGAAATACATCTCTCTACGTGTATGATAGAGTAAGTGCAGGAATCACACTCAAATACATCTCTCTACGTGTATGATAGAGCAAGTGCAGGAATCACACTTAAATACATCTCTCTACGTGTATCTATACTATTATATAATCTGAACCCGTGCTTCTGCAATACGATCCGAACATATAAAGATTAAAAGATGATACAATGTAATTGAAAATCACATTTAAATTATTAGATCACGTGATACATGTTGGCAAATGTAAGTGGTATACACTGACACTGGTTACTGCTTGCTTACCGGATCAAGCTTCTAACTAATGGCAGTTACTGCTTGTTTACTGACAAATGTTTGTTTACGGTTTAGGCTCCCATAGAAGAAGGGCTGATGAAATTCTCTTTGTCTTACATGTTGTTTGATGCCTGGGCGGTATACGCTAACTTTCATTAATGTAGGTATTGGTTGCACTGTTGGTTGCGGGAGGGACATCCACAGGTGTTTTCTTCATGAGGATACCGCCAGTAGTTTTAGGGATAGTCTCCAAAAAGAATAGTCAGGCTCTTTAATGCTAACACCTTTTTATGTTCAATGATTGACGGCTATACGCTCACTGACTGTGACATTTATATATGTTACAAAAGAGTTAGGTGTTGATTACTATTGAAACATCCTGTATGAAAGGTAGAGAGGTCACAGTTGATTTACCCAGGCCTACGTTCGGAGGACCTACAAAGGCCTTCATGTATCAATTAAAGACATATCTGAGCTTTTTTAAAATTTTGTGTAAATGCTTTGTACGGTCGGTAAAATGCTAATGATCTAAAACACTGCCGATTTGGTTTAACTCGCAAAGCACAATATTTCTTTAATCAGAAATTATAAAATGATTCATTAACGCCTGTATCCCCTGATCACGATGTATTTAAAACGTTCTGTATGGTGTATACATTAAGTAGAAATCGACAAAGAATGTGCCTTCTAATTCAAATAATAGTAGTCTCTAATTTCAAATAATACTTTCCTGAGTTGTTAGAAATATTTTTGCAAATGACATTTGCATTTTGTTGACTTCTCAATGTTGACCTTTGTTTCTTCTCGTGCGATGTATAAAACCAGACACATTAATTGATGTAGTGATGGTTGGTAAACTGACAAATGTTTCAGTGTTCGATAAAGAACATCAATTAACTTATTTATAGCTTAAGAGATTTTTATGTCTGTAGCAAGGCATAGGTTCAAATTATGAAATACCAGAAACTGTTTGTTAGACAGTAAAACATGAATCTGTCAAGTTATTGAGGATTGTTTTTGTTTCTGGTTTCCAATATAGTAGTGATGATTTGCTGTTACAACTTGTCTGTTAACACAGTTTTATCAAAAGTCCTGATTTCCCATGTGAGCAATACTATATATTTCCACACTTTGGAAAGTTGGCACTCTCCTCATCTGAGAACGTCAGTATAGATGCGGTCAATTTTAGACCGTCACAAAGCTCATCATTCTTGGAGCAAATCAGGCGACGGTAATTTCTCTCTACAAAGGACAAAGGAAAAACTTAATTTGAAAATTTCCTTAGGGCTACAGCAGTGTCTGAGGAAATTGTTAACGTCGCCGTCTGCTGAGTTTAATGAGGGTATGGTAACGATTATGTTTTATGGTTTGTAAAAGACACAAAATTGAATGGCACCTTTTGAGAAAATTTGAATCAGATCCCGTAGTGACAAATAAATGAGAGACACTTAAGATACTCGTAAACGACTACATCATTTGTATAAAATATCACAATCAATTTATTACATTTTGCATCAATTCCTATCTCAATGGATGTTGCTGAGAAATTGAGCGTGTGTTACAACAACTTACATACAGTCATTCTCGCGAGAATTGCCAACTTTCAACTAAAATGTGCAATTTGTGTAATTTCCCCCAAATTGTTTTACACAACAAAATTAGAAGCAATCATTGATACATGGATTTCTATAATTTCACTCACTTGTCAATAGATGCTTTGACTGGAACAAGCCTTATACTATACGAATATCACATGCTTTTACAGTTCTCAATCAACTGCTTTTCATAGCCTATTCCGTGAACATACTTTTTCTGTCCTGGTTATGGCGCACGTGAGATACCCTTTGGACGCTCATAAATTCTATACCAGACCTTGGGTATTCGGTCGCGTTGGAATGCGTTTTAATGGAGGCTGGTAATACAACTGTAGGTGAGTGTTGGATTCCCAGTGGCGATGACACCCCTAACCTTCCATAAACAGTGAAAATTTTATCATTTATAGACTTCGCAATTCATGAAACCTTCCCATTTTCACGCAAGTGTGAATTGAGTATGAAATGAGGGGCAGTTGACTAGAGACAAGGTCAAATTCGATGGCCTATTTTAGTAATCAATCCTTTGTCAGCATTTCTTTATAATATGGTATGACAGATACAGTTGGTTAATGGTAGACGAATCCCCTATTACCTTCTATAGAAATCTCCATCTCTATCTTGTGTTGTTACACGAATGTTAAACGTGACATTGCGGCGAGGTTACCTAATATTAGTTCATGGAATGCGAATGGTGGCAAAGCGTTGCAAAACTAGACAAGTCACGTGATAAGCATTATTCATGGCTCTAGTGGGGTGATATACATTGGACTTTTTATACAAAATCAAACCGATTCATTATTTACAATATAAAACGAGTAATTAATTACAATACCGTATTAATGGGGCTTTTTCTGCAAGAAAAAAAAAAAGCGAAATTCCCTCGACAACATATAACATGTCGCCATTCCCTTTGATTATTTAATTGAGAACGAAGTGACATCACGGAATCTGAAATACAAATAACGTATTTGTGGATATCAAGTTTGTCTAAATGATGATCCCAGGGCACCTCTTCAGCAGACTAAAGGTGTCGCCATATCACGTGATCACTGTTGAATGAGCCCTTTGAATAAATGATGTGAATTGATGATGTAGCTCCCAGAGTGGGTATCATTAGTTTTGTTACCACAGAAACGGAACATGTGTCTAATCAAACTCTGAGCGTATATAGATATGTTGTATGATACGGTTAGATCATAATCTATAGATATTAATAATGCCTTCAGTTAGCACCTCTGTTGCTAGCTACAATAACACTCTGAGTCAGTGTTTGTTTTGTTTAGAAATATGATACCTATCTTGATTAATTCAAACTTTGATAATTGATTTTTGTCACGTGAGTATGACAAATGTATATTTAGGATTCCAAGCTGTTTAATTCCTACTGTGTACACAATGTTACACGATTATAGTATTCTCTGATGTTTTAACATTGGTGGTATGTTAACGGTGTTATCAAATTTCAATATTCTATGTAACAAACAACCTGGAAAAAAACATGTATAGTGTGGTTGTCTGGGAATCTCAATAGAATTGAACTAGTGAAAGTGTAAGGCGTCATATCAAATACATAGATGTTATGTAATGAAGTTTAGACAGCTGTCATTTACGTAAAACCTGAGCCATATACAAACGTATAATACATCATAAATCTCAAAATATACTTCTGCACGTGCGACATGTATGTAAACACTTGAATGTAGATGTAAGAAAACAGAAGGCATAAAGGAATTTTGAAGATATGAAATAACGACCAAATTAGTATTGACATTTAACCGCACACGTGGTTGTGTTCACACAATCCTGAATAGCATTACACATTAAACATCTCCACTTCACCACCATAAACAGATATATAGTGTTTCTCACGTGGTATCGCTTCCACTATGTTTACATTCATTAACTTCAGTGTTAATATTAGTGACGACACGTCTGAAAAGTGACGTTAGAGAAAATATATACAGTAATGTACAAACCAGTCTGTTATCTAGTGATTAATGACTAAGATGATTTTGTTGTATATTAAACTACATTCTTTTTATTTCTTTGCACAAATATAAATACCAGTATGTTTACCAGATTGTACCTTTGTGTATTTCAGGCTACGACAGGGTAGCAAAGATTCCCCGCTTTAAGTTTGTGGAAACAAATTTGACCTACGTCCAGGGAGAAATGGCAATATTGAAGTGTGCAGTGGAAAATTTAGGAACAAAATCGGTAAGTACATAAACGTGAAAAAAATTTAAGTTTTCATTGCATAAATGTTTTAATGAAACTTGTCTGAGTAGTTTTTTTTTCGCAAGCCTTACCTTTTAATGTTTTGAAGTAAAAACAAATTTAGATTGTTTTTATCATATAACCAAGAAAAGTTTCATACAATGTTACAAAGTTGACAAAATAAAAAGGAGGCAGCTATTGTGTCGCGCCATTTTTAGTTCATGACCTAACGGCATTGTCAATATTGACATCACAGTCAGTTCTTGACTGGTGCAGCCAATGGAAAATGGTGCAGAGTAACTTACATTAGTGACAAATGTAACAATATTGATTTGGCAATTTCACTTGAATTTATAGAAATTAAAATGAGAAATTAAAACTCGAACTCGATAAGCGAGGCTAACAAATAATAACCAGAAAAGTATACGGGTTTATTACATCAAATGTCAGGCCAAGTGTTCTCGAAAAATAAGCGTTTTCTGCTTTCGACAACACCAGTCATGCAGGTCACGTTAGTCCTCGAAGGAGCGCAAGGTCATAACAACATGACCAAATGACAAACTCACGACCGTCAAACTCACGACCGTCAAGCTAACGACCGTCAAACTAACGACCGTCAAAATCACGAACGTCAAACTCACGACCGTCAAACTAACGAACGTCACACGAACGTCAAACTCACCACCGTCAAACTCACGACCGTCAAAATAACGACCGTCAAACTCACGACCGTCAAGCTAACGACCGTCAAACTAACGACCGTCAAAATCACGAACGTCAAACTCACGACCGTCAAACTAACGAACGTCACACGAACGTCAAACTCACCACCGTCAAACTCACGACCGTCAAAATAACGACCGTCAAACTCACGACCGTCAAGCTAACGAACGTCAAACTAACGACCGTCAAACTAACGATCGTCAAACTCACGACCGTCAAATTCACGAACGTCAAACTCACGACCGTCAAACTCACGACCGTCAAACTAACGAACGTCACACTCACGAACGTCAAACTCACGACCGTCAAACACTAATTTCAAATTGCGCTAGGTTGGTTTCGCCATGAAACATCGCCATAGTCCAAATAAAAAGCACAATTCTTGATTCAACATGTCTTCACCAGTATTTATCGGGCTGTCATGGCGGTACTGTAACGGGGTAGTTCACAAAGGTACTTGTATGATATAGAATAGGAAGTGTTGTATGGATATTCATTCGAACTTGAAGAGAATACTTCACAGCATAGGCAGTTAAACAATACATTGGTCAAAAGTTGAAATAGCTGCAAATAATTTAGATAAAAGTTATCTGATTAGAAGAAAATTAAGCAAACACAAAGAACAATATACGGAACGGCTGCAAAACAGATTTTTTTTTCATTTGATAAAACATTGCGGTAAACAGTGAATGTATGTATGATTGGAGGTACAAGTTATAAGTGTATGCCACAATGTTATGTACAGTAGACAAGATACAACAAGGCAAAACACTATACAGAGACAATGGTCTGGCGGTTTATCATTCCTTCAACCGCCGCTATATTTACGTGAGATACATAACATTTATAAGGTACTAGAGCACAGAAACTAATAAAGACTATCTAAGACCAGACGCATTGTGATAACGATTCAATATGTCTTTGGATCACGGAGTGTATTTTTCGTCCTACACCACATGACCTGAAAATGAAAGAGAAACACCTCGATATTTACCGTGACATTTGTATATAGAACAGCTGCAGGTATGTCGATTGCTCTATAATGGCACAATGACCTTCTTCCCTAATTCATGGAAGAGCATGTGTTTTGGATGAGGGCAGTGAATAGATATATTGTATATCAGTAGTAGTAAGATCACACAATTCATTGTAACCCGTAAACGATTGTCATATGTCAACGAAACAGGACTCTTTCATAAGTGTAACACATGAAATATCATTGTCTCTGTAATGCCTATCTTGTCCTGGATGTATGTACCTGTAGTATATTTAAACACTGACATACCGGGTACATCGGAAATGCGTTGAAATATCGGTAAATACAATGTGTGTAGATGTTACTCTAAAGCCATAATCAAGTACATGACAATAAATTATGATAAATTGTCAATTAATGATACACAACAAATCGAGTTGTGAATGAACGAGCTCTTCCATAATCAAGCACGACTTTTCACAGTTAGTCTTTTAATTAATTATATATCACTACTGTGTTTTGATATATAGTCTTGTGTTTAATCAGGGTTACATATTTAGATAAGGTTAACAATATGGCCCTACATTAAATATGTACTCAAGCATTACACAATTAAGATAACAGTATATTACTAAAGTAAACATAGAACCAGTCGGTGTAACGTAACATTTAGCAATCCTAAAAACACAATTAGAAAGCGAACACATATCACACATATCTTACCAACTGACATGATTCAAGCACTATTATGATCGAATATATATACTAATATAGCAAAGGACAAAACTAACAGGATATACACTAACATAATATGTTATAAAATGAGACAATGAAGTCGGTGGTGTAAAATGATTTAGAAAAAAATATTATCAAAGGATATTTGCCTATAAGTAGATACATATTGTAGGAAACTATACTTCTGTATCAAAATATCAATACAAGGGAAGTAATCACATATATAGCTGTATGTTATTTATAGTGACTCAATAGATTGTATATCATAAAAGATATGTTATGAGATTAAAACTTGAGACTAGTTACAGTACATATCTAATATATGGCTGTATTGAGGACTATGCACGAGATAAGAAATGTGCAGTACGATTCTAAGAAGTTTTATTGTATTTAACATTTGGCACAGGTTTTGCCCATTCGTGTTGATACTGTACATCTTTGTTCCGGTTTCCCGATCGTCCTAACCAATCCGAATTTTATTTTCAAATTGGTAAAATGGTGTCCCTAAAGTTTACATTTTGATTTTGCTCATGTTTTGGTTTGCTGGTGATTCACCGAAGTGTCAGTACTTTAGACAAGTGACATATAATGATACGGCTATCTGGGTAGATGGCGGTCTCCAGACCATCAAGTATTACTGGGACGTTAACTTAGTTTCGTTATTATGGTTGATGTAAGAATAATTCTATATTTATAAAGTTGTCAACGTACATCGAGCATATATCATGGCTTTGATTCTATAATATATATATACTATAAAACTATATAATTTTGTAGGGCTCAATTCTTGTAGTTTTCCAAAAGCATCGTGGAGAAATATGCCTCTATAATCACACCGATACTAATTTCAGTAGTTCGTATTATAAGCGAATATAGAGTGCCCACGAAATCCTGTTAATCCCTCACGAAAGTTAATGATTTTGCAATGTCATGGTGACAACACACAAGACACAATGAATGGAAACTCCAGACTGGACATGAGGCAAACACAATGAAAAGACAACAAAAACGGAAAATAGTAACGAATTTTGGTTCCAGGACTGGTATGTATCTCTTATGCATCTTCTAAGAGTGTAAATACTGTACATTGATGTGACAGATATTGACAAAACTCCAAATTGTCCTTTTGTGTGGTTGTATACTTATACACCCTGCAAATAAGTAGGATGGCTTTATAGGAATCACCTCGTCGGTCTATCCATCCAACTCGCCACATGACAGCACAAGGAGGAAAAAAACGAACAGATATCCAGCCTGGTAAACATGTGCGACGCTTTTACAATATCTGACACATGGGTATACACATTCACTAACCATCAAGCAAACATATTTTGGGGAAAAAATCCCTACCTACTTGTTTTCGGACATAAACCGGAAATACATTTTTTTTGCTGTTTTGTACATAATATCTGGATTACCGAAAAACAGAAAGAATAAATCTAGGTCCAAAAACTGTTTTCTTCAACATTATAACAACAATTTGAAGAATATCAAGGCCAGGCATCAGATTGAGATCTTTCTGTCGTATTTTACGTATCATAATTGTTATAATGGTTGTCCAGTGTAATTAGCCATCCGTTAATCTGAAATATAATTTCCTCTGTCGATTCGTGCGTAGGACGGAATATTTGTTTGATTTGAATTGCGCTGAATCAGCATATTAAAGACACAAGAACTATTTAAGAGACAGTTATATCCTGTAGTGGGGTTTTGTATTACCATGTTTCACGTCTGTACCACCTTTTGTTCCATGCTGTGCTACCTTATCGCATGTCCGAAAATGACTGAAATGTTTTCTGGGAACAAAGAACACATATTTGCTTCTCTATGAGTGATTAAATTGTAATATTACTACTATTTTGTGTATTGTTTGCCATCAAAGTGTCCCGCGTTTTTATTCTTGTTTTAAGTCATCAAATGCTAATTTATTCTCAGTTAAATGAACTGTAAATATGTTTGTATCTATTTGCTTTCTGTATAACATGCAACGCGCTCGGTACCATATTTTATATGCATTTCCTGAAAACTACATATTCAAATATGCCATATCACGGGTTTTACCATTTTGTGATTTAATCATAAGACTTAATTTTAACAATGTAATTTTTTCTTCATTTAATTATGATTAAAACATATCCAGAAAGGTGACAGTTTATCATTACAGCCCACCAACTCAATTCCAATTCCAATATTTTAGCTTCAGATGCTGTCGAATTCTGAATGTGCGACATCATGGATTAAATTTTGAAGATTTTTAATTATTTTCAATGTGGTACAGCTTTATTATTGTAAATGGTTCCGAACACAATCGTGATAAGACCGCCGTGTAATTAACCTTTGTTGTTTCAATGAAATAATAATTTCCATCTGTGATTGTATCTATTTTATTAATCCTTACAAACAGGACATTTATGCTATAAAAACACAAATATATGAATCTTCAGCATTCTTCATTCTGTACGTCGCGTAACTAGGTATGCTTACAATCACATTTTGATAAGTAGAAGAGAAAGTGACGAGAAAATATTTTATTAATCTTCACTAATCCTTTAAAGAATATTGAAAT